ATAATGACAGATATTATCACAGTTGAGACTGCCAGCTGCTACACAGAGAGTTAGCTGAGGGCCCCATCCTAATGTCACTATGGGACCCCATGATTCATAGTTGCACCCCTTCTAGAAATGCCTGAAAAAGTAGTAGAAACTTGCAATCACATGACCTGTCCATTTTCTTTCTTCCCTCTAACATAACGGGCGTTGTGGGCTGAACAAGGGACTACATGTCTCATAGTATCTTATGCCATCAGCAGAGAAGGGCATGTGACAATTGTGTGCCTGTGTGTAGTCACAGTAAGGTGAGCCATTGGTGCCACAAGGAAGCACTGCTAACACCCACTATCTCCATGAGGAATGTAATTATGTCACCCATATAGTTTGTAGAACTACATGGGAAGGTTGAAACAGACCAGACAGGAAAGGAAACTAAGAAGAAAGTTTGGGCTTCAGAACTACTTAAAAGTATATCCAATGCCAAAACTCTTTTTTTTCATCTCTCATCATGTCACCACTTCCTCATAGATTAAATTGTAACTTTAAAAAAACAATCTGTCCCTTTCTATAACCGCACATCCAGCTGCGTGACAGATTGGCATTTTAAAGGTGTGATTTAATCCACAAGGAAGTCCTAGTGTGATGTGAAATGAAAGAGCAGCTGTGAAGTCTACAAGTGCTAAGTATATTTGTTGAAGTTAGAGCTACACTTTAAACGTAAGACTTTAGTCTTGCGATGGTTGTAAAGGGATTAAAAAAACGTACGATCTGCCTATCTTGGACAGGCAGATCGCACTCTCGATCATCGCAAGCCCGCCCCCCTGAGGGGCGTGCTTCCGATGACCGCAATGCTGAACGGGCAGTGTGCGCGTGCGTACACTGGCCCGTTCAGCATTTATCTTCCGAGCACCGTTCTAACCAGCCGAGAATCGTGCGATTCCCGGCTGGTTTTCGAACATGCTGGTTCGACAGAAGACGTGCGACCGTACAGTAGAAACGGTCGCACGTCTCCGTTCACACTGCTCGATTATCGTACGAAAACCCGATCGCATACGATTATCGTACGATAATCGTGCAGGGGATGGGTACCTTAAGAGTCAGAAGTTGTCAAATGACTTGTCACACAAGAAGCAGGATATCTCATCTGAAAACATTCAAACAACTACAACAAACAAGTCAATTCCCAAAAAACTGAGCATGGCTTTGTTTCCTGTTCTTAATTCTGAAAAAGCATCCCCTTCAAATCACATCTGAGTAATGAAGTACGATAAGGGCACACGGATCAGAGGTAGACAAACACACTCACGTAGACTTTGAATGATTTCTAAAGCCAAAACTTTTATTTTCACTTTGAATGAAGTATGGAATGGTTAAAGAAGAACTCCAGGCAGAACGTTTACTAACCCTTGCAGTGGGGCTACCAAGGGTCAACTGCTCGTTTTTGCCTAGGGTTAAAAAAAATGATACTCATCTGATCCTCCGAGCTGGCCGACTCTTAGGCTAGGTTCACACCTGCACTACACCGCACGACACCTGGGACACGCATACTGGGATCGCGCTGTCCTGTACAATGCAGGGAGCGATTGCTGTGCGGTCCCATTGATTTCAATGGGGTGACATCCGCGCGGCAATCGTAGAAAAAAGGTACAAGGTACCTTTTTTTGCGATACACGACATGCGGCTGTGTTCGGCAACTGGGGTGCCATTCGAAAATAATGGCACCCGCAGCGCGATCGGAGCACACCTTGGCGACTCCTGACTGAGCGGCAATCCGCGCGGGATCGTGCACGATTGCCACACGGTGAGGTGTCGCCTAGGTATAGCCTTAGACTGGTCCCTGGGGCGTCTCTCCCCCTCCACTGCAGCGGTATAAGAACGTGTATATACAATACAGTGTATAGGACGTGAGGACGCCAAGGGACATTCCATCGCTGCGGCGGGGGAATATAATGGCTGGAGCGAGCACTGCCGTCTCAGAGGATCACGTGGGTATAACTTTTTTTTTTTTTACTGGGGCTACCCCCATACTGCAGTTAACCCTTGCAGTATGGGGGTAGCCCCACTGCAAATGTGTAATACAGTTTCTGCCCAGAGTTCTTTTTTTTCCTATCTATGCAGATAGAGCAGGAAGGAAAAGGAAATCTCTCCATAGTGAGGTTAATACTGTTTTTCCTCTTGAAAGATTTGCCTTCTCTTTCCACTCTGGTGACAACACAAAATTTAGGATTTCATATAATTTTCTGTCTCAGTCACAACTGTCACCAGGACAGGTACAGGGAGTGAATCTCCCCATAGCAATACAAACTTGAAAAAAAAAACTCTTCACCCCTCAATGCAAAATTAATAAAAGAGTTTTGGCTTCAGATACACTTTGTATGAAACCCAAACTTTTCTTTAGCTTTCGATACAGTAGAGAAGATAAAACCATTGTCTTTTATGTTGCTGTATGTGTCCCATTGTGAAGAATTACCTTTACTTCCTGTCTCAAAGACACTACAGGAGGTGAGAGAAAACCTCTGCAAAATAGGAAGAACTCCCACAACTGTCACCGGAACAAGTGTTTTCTCTCTATTCCTGTTCCAGGGACAATTCAAAATGACACGTCCTCATTATCTTAAAGTCCCTGTGACAGTGGTCACCAGGGCAAATAAAGATGGTGAACCCCCCAGCAAGGACAGTAATAAAAACCTGACACATGTTCTAACCCTTCACCATTCCATCCATCCAACCACTGAAAAAAACTGATTTTAGATATACTTGAAGTTGCAGGAAAAAAGTTACTTTGTTATGACTGGTCAGGAAGCCATCTTTGACAACTAGAAGAGTGTATAAAATCAATGGACTCACCCATAGTAGGCATTGCAACATTGTCCACACTGTCGGGGTATCTTCCATCTTCTCCCGGGTACCAGGTTCCCAGCACTGAGCACTATCCCCGACCTCCTGCTACCCCCTGCTCCCCTCTTCTTCTGGGATGCAAGAAACTCACAACTGCTTCTGGGTTACTTTAGATGTCCGGTACATTACTAAACTTATCTCAGAGGACCATACATTTGTTTTCTTCATGTGTCCATTGCCTGAAGCCAGCAATACATATGCGGACACAGGCAAGCACCCTATTAGCCATTCTTCTCCAACCCTCAGCCATCTCAGCCTTCCCAGGAGCTTGCACGTTAGAGGTTTAACAGACACGATGTGTACTCTGCTGCTCTGAGCTCCGCTGCTGCTCAGAGGCACATTCTGAGAATCAAACCTCTGATGGGCAGAGTGCCATGGAGCCTCTGCAAAACTGCCAATAGCTGCGGCAGCGATCTTCCAGAAGTCGCTATTATTGCCCCACTAGACCTAGAAGAACAACTATATCATTCATATGACCTGCTCCGTGCAAACTTTCATGCTGCAGCCTTTAATTCGAAGTTTCCTGGGTATGTTAAGGCTAGCCCTTCTGTACTGATGGGATCCTTCACATCTCTTGTGCAGCCTTTAATTCGAAGTTTCCTGTGTATGTTAACCTTGGCTAGCCTTTCTGTACTGATGGGATCCTTCACATCTCTTGTGCTCTGTCCACTCAGCCTAACCTTGGTGTACTGGTGGTGGGATCCTTTGCATTACTGTGCCCCTCTAATTCAAAGTTTCCTGGCTCTGTTTACTCAACCTTGTCCTGATGTACTAGTGGGATCATTTAAATCACCTGTGCTCCCCTAATTCAATGTTTTCTGGGTCTGTTCACCCAAAGCTAGCCCTGCTCTACTGGTAGGAATCTTCATATCTCCAGTCCTGCCTTTCATCCAAAGTGGTCTGTCCACCCCAGGATTGCCCTGCTGTACTGGTGGTAGGATCCTTTACAACTTCTGAGCTGTCCTTAGTCCAAGGTTTTCTGGGTCTCTTCTGTGACTGTAAACCCCAAGGTAGTCCTGCTGTACTGATAGCATGCTTTAGATCTACTGAGCTGTCCTTCGTCCCTGGGTCTGTTCCGTGACTGTCCGCCCCAAGCTGGCCTTGTTGTACTGGTAGGATCCTTCTCCTTGCTTTTATACCTTTACCCAAAGTTCACTGCATCTGTTCTCCCAGGCTAGCCCTGGTGTACTGCTGGGATCCTTCACATCTCCTCTGTTGCCTTTAATTAAAAGTTCCCTGGATCTGTTCTCCTAGCCTAGCCCTGCTGTACCTGTGGGATCCTTTGCATCTTCTCTGTTGCCTTTAATTAAATGTTCCCTGGATCTGTTCTAGCCTAGCCCTCCTGTACTGCTGGGATCCTTCGCATCTTCTCTGTTGCCTTTAATTCAAAGTTCCCTGGATCTGTTCTCCTAGGCTAGCCCTCCTGTACTGCTGGGATCCTTCACCTCTCCTCTGTTGTCTTTAATTCAAAGTTTCCTGGATCTGTTCTCCTAGGCTAGCCCTGCTGTACTGCTGGGATCTTTCACCTCTCCTCTGTTGTCTTTAATTCAAAGTTTCCTGGATCTGTTCTCCTAGGCTAGCCCTGCTGGGATCCTTCACATCTCTGTTTGCTTTACCCAAGGTCTCCTGGATCTGTTCTCCTAGGCTAGCCCTGCTGTACTGCTGGGATCCTTCACCTCTCCTCTGGTACCTTAATTCAGTTTCCAGGGTATATTCACCCAAGGCTAGCCCTGCAGTACTAGTGGGATCCTGTCCTCTCTGCAGTTCCCCAGCACAGAGTCCTGCTTGTTCCTACAGTAAAATATCCATTCTGTCATCTCTGCTATATATATTTCCCTAACTGTGAAATCAGTGCGAGTTTATGACATGCCAGGCTATTTCATTCCGCACCGGCTTCTCCCAGGACTTCGGTATTTATACCGCTTATTACACTTCATGTTGCCTGTTTATCAATATTTAGTCATCAGCAGCTCCTGAAAGCGAGCACATGCTGTGTCCTGAGCCCAGACCTCTACTGCTGATGGTGGCACATCTGCCAATGGTAGACGATGTGCTGAAAGTGAAAGTGCTGCATTCTGTCATACTGTCATCGGCTCCCTGCAAAGAGCCGACTGCGCTGTGCAGTGATGGAGAGGAGCTCCCTGCGCTCATACAGGGGGAATCTGCAGACAGCTGGCGCGGGGCGGGGCTCGCCTCTGGCCCCGCCCCCTGTTGAAACTGCAATGCTGAGAAGTCAGCAGAAGTGTCTCTGCACATGGGAAGCAGTCCAGGGGGAAAGGGGAGAGGTAAAAGGAGACTGAAGGTAAAAAGTGGAGGAGAGAAGTACACATACAAGGGGGAGAGCAATAGAAAGAACACATACTGACCAAGGCTGGTGAGTACTGACACAGAAAGGGAAATATTGGGTCACCTAAGAGCAAGCTGGAAGACATACACTTAAAATGTGTATAGGGTGGGGGTCAAAACATAAAGAAGGTTTTTATTTGTTATACACATTTAATACAATGACACTTTTTGTCTCCTCTGATAGAAAATGCTTGTGGGACCCCCTGGGCTAGGAGACCTGTCCTCTCATAGTCGCGGTCCGTTATGTCATCGTCATTCATGGCTTTTCATCGTGATCCTGGGTAAGTGACTTGATTGCCTTTTAACTGAGCTTTGTGCACTGCTTAGCAACAATTCCCCATCTGCTCTGGACAGAGACAATAGGAAAGTTACATTGTTATGCAGTACATAGTAAATTCTGCCTATAAGGAATGCTGTGTTATCGTTATCTCTCCCAGGATTAAGTGTACTTTGGGAATCTAAATTTAAAGAAGTGTGACAATAGTAACCCCTTCCTTCACACACACGCACACATGCACACACACATATCCCCCCCCCCATGCAAACTTAATACCAGGCAAGAAGACTGCAGAGGTACTGCAGAGATATAAGAGTGAGCAAGGGTGTGGTATAGAACTATTAGGATACATGACTATAAATGACATATTACCTTGTCCCTCAGTGTCCGCAAACAAAGTGATATACCACCGCAAAGCACCCCATCAACAGAAGATTGTATTTTCTATCAGTGACTCAGCACTAAGCATCAGTAACTGCAGGCTGAGTCAGCAACAGGCCACTTCTGTCCTTTGTCAGAGGGGTACCCTACCTGCATGCCACCTAGGATGCTTCAGGTTTATTATTTTTGCTATGCAGAATTTTTTCCGGCAAATAAACCATATACCTTCTTACTATTATAACTTGTATTGTTCTAAAATCTCTTATCTGCTGTTGAACTGTATTCTACAATCATATGGCTTAATAATGCTGCATTTTTCGGATCTTGATTCTTCCTGCATGTTTAGTTTACATTAACCATTGCACCCTGCATATGGCTTCAGCTGTCTTCTTCATTGCAGTTCAACCTAAATTCAGTAATGTTAACTTTTCTTTCTGCAAAAGCCTCGGAAGAGGTGTATGGGCTGTTTTGGAGCTCCACGATGCTCTTTGACTTGTCATGAGTACAACTACTGATGCAATTACTGTACATTGTTCTTGGTTTAATGTTTTGGGGGTTTTGTTGTGCACATAGTGTTTAGGTATATGCTGATACATACAAATGTTTTTGTGTGGTTTTAGTTACAGTTGTTGATAAAATAGAAGGTATTTAGCTGACCACACACCAGGCATATTTTCCTCAGATGTGATGTATTATATCAGCAGAACTTACAAAGTACTATGAAGGAACCTCAATTTATATCTAATTAAGAAGGCTCTTCCATTCCATATTTATTGATATTAGAAGTGGATATGTAGTGGAACATGTCCAACTATATTTTAAAGGCTGCCATAGACTTAAGAAGGTGGTCAGACGTGCAGGCTCTATCTCACTCAGGCATTTATGCCGACCACAAGGTCCCTAAGCATAAGGGGTCATTTCATGTTTGTGTTGGTGTACTATACATATTAGATCATCTCTATAGAAGCATTGTAAAGGAATGCAGAAAGTCTGTACTTTCATCAGCCTTTCTTAAACCTTTTAATTCAGAGGAATCCTTGAAATGACTTTCAGGTGCTTGGCAACCCCTGCTGACATCAAATCATTGTTGGCCAGTGGGAAAAATTCCCCTTATATTGGCAGACAATGTGAACAATGCCCCCTTTCCAGTGACGGCCACCCTTACAGAGAGCTAAAAAGATCATTGGTGTCATGCAGCTGGCTATGCCCAGTGGTGTTGGCCCTATGCAGGCACCATCAGATGGGAGGTCAATCAGCCACAGATCAAGGAACCCCTAGTGACCTCTGGAGGAACCCTAAGGTTGAGAATAGCTGAATTACATGAATGTTTGGGAAAAAAAAACCCATATACGTGCTTTACCAAGACTGATAGCTGCTTTTTCAGTAAACCAGTAAACCTCCCTCTAGGAACCTTTCTTTAGTGGGATATAAAAAAGCACTTATTTATTTTTATTAGCCCATTGCAACTTGCACATGTAGATCATTAGCGAGAAATATATAAGAGGATTTTGGCTAAGTGATATTAGGATGCAGTTGAAATCATTTAATGGAGTGAGAATTAGCTGAATTCTGAAGTTTATTAGTTAATATTTGTATCTATTAAAGAAGAACTCTGGGCAAACAAAATATGTATTCTTGCAGTGGGTCTCCCCCTGTGCTTCAAGGGATAAGTGCTAATTTTGTCTAGGGGCTCAGATAACGCTGATTTGCTTACCTGATCCTCGGTCCTGCTTGCTCCCTCTGGTCTGCTAGACCAGTCCTCGCAGTGATGATTCCTGCACCACTTTTTTATTGCGCTGGTGTCACAGGAAGTAAGAGAAAATCTTCTCAATGTGGACTTGTTAGAAGCGATGACTCTTACCCACGCTACGTTTTGGCTGAAGTTGAATATTAAAGGGTATCCAGAATTCCAAATCAAATCCCAGCTCCCTGCTCACCTATTTATGAGCATTGTAAATAACGTTACATACCATAAATGACTGAAATAGCCAGATAGTCTTCCAACTTTGGTGGCCAGTCCTGTAGCCCAATTCCAGCCAGCGGACCTACCAAGTAACTTATACACAGTATTGTGGAAGGATTATTATACTGGAAGGTAACTTATGGCTTGTGTAGTCTGGTGCTGTTTTCCTTTTTTTGATGTGCACTTAAAGAGGAACTTTAGGAAATACAAAACTAGCCCTCGAAGTGGGGCTACCCCTGCACTGCAAGGCTTAAGTCCTTTTTGTGGTCTAGGGGGGCTCAAATAAAGCAGATATACTTACTTGACCCTCGGTCCCGCATGGCTGCCAGACCGGTTCCTGCAGCCTCTTTTCCCCTGCTCCGGTGGTCTAAGGATTGCTGCCATCATCATGTCTTGCTGGAGTAAAGGGGGAGAGAGGTGGGCGCTGACTGCTGCTGGACTGAGGATCAGGTGAGTGTATCTTCTATATTTACGTCCCTAGACCAAAATGAGCACTCAACCCTTGCAGTCCGGGGGTAGCCCCACTGCAAGGGTAAGTATATACAATCCTGGAGTTCTTTTTTAAAGCTCACATTAGCAGATTCCCAATTTCTTCAATGGTACAGTGTGGATTATAGTTCCTAGGCTGCGATTGACCTGATTTTCATTACTTTGGACACAGCAGGTCCTATTGAGATGCATTTGTGGTGCAGGACAAGCAGGTCAAACACAGCCACGTACTTGAGCAGCAGTGAGTTTGAATGCTTGACAATGCCCGTCCACACCAGCCCTTACAGTCTTTTATAGTTTTGTCTCTCAGAACCTGCTAGGCTTTACCATACCATGAGTAAAAGTGTGTGGTAGGAGTGCAGACCCTAGCAGGCCCTCTGGGTTATAGCACATACTGGATTTTGTCGTGTCACCAACTTCAGGTTCTCTGCCGTCTCTAATGTTGTCATTGTGGTGAAAGCTCAGCTTATTGCAACATACACAATTTCTTAAACACAAGTGAAGCCGATGAGAAGCTGATAAAGGATCTTGTTCCATGTATAAGTACAACATAGCCATGTTCCATTAATTAATTACAAAAAACAAGCTTGGTTTTCTTTGTGTTCTGGCTGTATGCCACATTACAAGTATAGTAAGCACAATTTTACAAGGGCCGTGTCAGCAGTCTCTGACACAGTGATATCTTAGGGAGCACTGTGTAAATTAAAATGTATGTAAACCCTAACAATGAACCTCTCTCTTTTCCTCCATTTTAGACTGTTAACTATACTGTGGAAAGAGTTTTGTTAAATCTGTTTGATAAGTGCAAAAAATACCCGTTAGATCATGTCAGCAATGCAGAGCTGTCCTGTGTCCTCAGCACGCTTCTTTTTTCTTTGTTATCTCAAGGAGTCTAATTAGCCCTCCTATTTATTATCTTGGACTGCAGAACAATTCGTTCATATGTTGTGGAGATGAGGACAGTGGGAGGGATTCAATAGTTTGGCAAAATACAACTAGGCAGTGCTGACAATATTCGGTTTACACACATGCTGTGTGTCAGCCCACAATAGAAACTAGGAGCTGGGTATGTTTCTAGCAGATCATCTGGGATTTTTCTGTACCTGCAGAGTCGCTGAAGATAAAACATGGGAAAATGTATTGCAGAAATGTACTGCATATGCTTTTTTTGTTTATTTGCCCTGACATACGCTTAAACCGTTGATTGAGTTGAATGCAAATATCAGTAGCCATCAGTCTCTGATTTAGGTGCATTCTACTGTAAGGGTGTACTGAAACTTATGTCTACAATACCAATTGTTTCTATGGTGGACACAACACAACATACAGAAGCACCTGTTGCCACTAAATGGTGAAGGTTTGTGAGTAGGACTTTTCTATCTATATTTATTTTTCTTTAGAATACAGGGGAATAGTAGTGATGAGTATGACTAAGATAAATACTACCTCAAGGTCTGCTCCATATGGAATCATAAGAACATAGCACTTATCAGTGCTAAACGCAGGAAGTTTATAAGTGAGAGCCCTAAGAGTTTTGCTGTCTACATTTATTTTTCTTTAGAATACCAACACAGGTCAGTTATACAAAAAATATGATGTATACAGTATTTCCATAAGGTCTGCTCTACTATACATAAGTTTAGCTAATTGTATTGTAGTTGAACAAAGCCATTTGAAAACTACAAGTGGCATATTTATCAATTTTGGATAGCTACTTTCAAGCAAGATACACATTATAAAATGGAGAACAACATGTAGATAAAATATGCTGGGAATAGTTTCTCACATGTAAGAAATGAAATTTGTTATTTGGTAAATAGAAAAATATCTATTAAATTCGAAATTAAGAAAATTAATATTTTTTTATGCCTAATATCATATCTCTATTTATACTACTTCTCATGGTGGTAGTACTAGGACTGGGTAGGGTAACACAAGGAGGCTTTCAAGGGCAAACAGAACACAGGGAATCCCAGAGAGGCACAGTAACATTGATATGGCCTGAATCTTATTAACAAGGTTACATAGTTTTTGTATACTGGTAACATCAAAGTTAATTTAGAACTGTAAACACGGGCCTTCTAGGGGAAAAAAAAGAAAGGGATTTGAAAGCTGGAGGCCAGTCCTTGTATAACATTGAGAAGAAGGAATTTTAATTGGGGGTCAAAGCT